TTGGCGTCCTTCCCACCTTTGAGAAACTAACTCTCTTTTGTTTCCCGTAAATGCAATCTTCGCACAAACCTAATTCAACATGTTTTAGGTTTGACAACTTCTTTTTGGATGCCAAAAGCTTCATTCCCTTCTCACTCATATGCCCGAGCCTCCGGTGCCACAATGTTGTATCACGACCATGATCAACTGTTGCTATAGTATCTCTTTCTATTGCAGTTGCATACAGTGTTCCCCTTTTGAAGCCTCGTGCCACAACCAAATTCCCTTTGGTTATCTTCCACGATCCGTTGCCGAATGTTGTTGTATATCCTTCATCGTCAATCTGACCCATAGATATCAGATTTTTCTTGAGGCCAGGAACATGTCGTACATTTTGCAATTTCCATAGCGTGCCTTGTGAAGTCTTTATATGAACTTCACCTTTTCCGGCAATGTCGAGAGGTTCGCCGTCTGCTAGATAAACTTTCCCAAATTTTCCAGCAATATAATTATGCAATAATTCTTTGCATGATGTAGAGTGAAAGGATGCACCTGAGTCCAGAATCCAAGATTCGACTGGACTGTCTGCACAACAAATTAGTGCATCACCGACTTGTTCAGCAATTACATTTGCTGAATTTTCTTCCTTCTTCTTCTTTGGTTCTCTACACTGGCTACTGTAGTGACCCTTTTTATCGCAATTCCAACAAGTAATGTCCTTGCGGTTTTTTTATTGTCCTCTTCTCCTTGACTTTGATATGCCACGACCATAACTCTGTCCTCTTTGGTTGATTCTCCCCCTGCTTTCGGTACTAAAAACAGATCCTGGGGAATCACTTGATTCTCTTCGGAGAATATCTTCGCTTAGAACCAAGTCTCTAATATCATTCAATTTGAGTTTGGTACTTCCTGATGAACTGCTAACTGCAGTTACAATTGTAGACCAACTCTCCGGTAGAGATGATAGTAGAATCAACGCCCTGATTTCGTCATCAATTGTTATATTAACAGAACTCAACTGAGTTAATATTGTATTAATCTCATTGATATGTTCCGTGACTTATCCACCTTCTGTCATTTTTAAGTTGAACAATCGACGCATCAAATAGACTTTATTTGAAGCAGATGGCTTCTCATACATATTTGATAACGCCTTCATCAGGCCTGTAGTGGTCTTCTCGTTAATGATGTTAAATGCCACATTTCGTGTTAGCGTCAAACGAATCACACCGAGAGCTTGGCGATCTAATAGATCCCAATCCGCTTTGGACATAGTCTCCGGTTTCACCTCGGTCAGAGGTAAGTGTAATTTTTTCTGGTACAAATAGTCTTCTATTTGCATTTTCCAGAATCCAAAATATTTGTCATTGAACTTGTCAATCTTAACCTTCCCTTCTTCCGATGCCATTTTTCACAAAAACAATTTATGTGAATAGTAACGATGATCAATAGTGTCGCACTATTCTTATGAATAGTACCTGCACAAATATTGTACTTTTCTACCAGAATTACATTGTTTGTGCTCTGATACCAGTTGTTGGGAAGCGTATACAAAAAAAGAATATTTAAGAGAGAAGCAATAAATTGCACAAGACAAGATTTACGTGGTTCGGCAATTGTTACCTACTCCACGGCCACACAAAGAATAGCTCTTTATTAATTGAAGAGAGAAAGAAGAAGTTTTGGGATGATCTACAAATGAAAATGTAGACCCCTATTTATAGGCATTTGAATGCCCTGCCGAGATAAGCGCTTACATCATAAGAATACCGATGTAAGCGCTTACATCATAAGAATGCCGAGGTAAGCGCTTACATCACAAGAATGCCGAGGTAAGCGTTTACATCACAAGAATGTCGATGTAAGCGCTTACATCATATTTTCATCTCTTTTTTATTTTTCTTTTTTTTGTTTTGTCTACTTTCACATACAACAATAGGTTTGGTCCTATCAATCCTCACCCAAACCCAGATCGTGTCGGATTGCTGTAAAGTGCTGGCCATCTCTGTACCATCATCTGCCTTGGGACACAAGGAGAGTTGCCCTTCTCCATCACTTCAGTATGCATCTATATGCATGTCTCAGCATTTGGATTGATGGTCACCTCATCTGGTATGCCACCTAAAGTTCTATATATCCTCTTATTAACATAAGCTATTTTGTCAGTAAACTCGCCTGTAATTTGCGAGTAGATCCTTGATCTATGCTTCAGAGTTTGATATTCCTCTTCAGCAAATTTTCCCTGCTAAGAGGTAGTTCCACGTTGTATTGTGCATCTCCTGTTGTTGTTATCAACATATTCAGATTGTATTTTCTGTCGAATCTAAAGTAAAGTAGTTAAATATCTATGTGATGTTAATTTGTTCTGTTGTTCGCATTTCTGCCTTTGCTTCTTGCCTTAGCGTGGGATGGATACTATATGACAGCGTCTTTTACTTTCTATGTCTTTTATGACCATCTTGTATACGAACAGGAATTTTTAGTCTTGTATGTATGTTACGAGAATTATCATCTCTAAAGTGGTTTTACAGCATATTGTAAGGAATTTGACAACAATACATGGTTTGGTTCATAGTCTCTTTGCGCTTTTCTGAGAATAATTTGGCAACAATACAATTGTCCAAATCTCCAGCGCCTTCCAGTCCGTTGCTCAAACCACGTCTAGAATTTGGGAAGAGTGAATACTGGCCAGAATTTGCTTATATTTCCACCATAATTTGTTAAATCTTGTTGAGCAGTTTGTAGCGCCTATTACACTGTGAGGAAGCATCTTCACTTCGAGATGATACTTAGATGACCAAAAAGACAATGCTTTGCAACTAAAAATCTTTATACATCGTAAGAACAACCTAGTATAGGTAAGAATTAACTATTCTCTCTAGAACGTTGATAGCAAAATGTAATATTAAGAAATTAGACATCAGCTGGACAGTGCACAGTCTTCCGGAATACGAACCAATCTTGCTTGAAGATTTTTAGTGCATCGCAATAGCAATTTGTGTAACCTTGCTGTTTTCCTTTCTCCAGTTAGTTGAGGAAGGAGGAGGAGCTGTAGAGTAATTCACATGTCATTGTTGAACGTGTAAAATATATGTTTCCTGCTTAAACGCAGAGCACTTACAGAAGTCAAAGGTACATGATACCAATTATTTGCGTTCAATCTGATAAAACTATGGAAGTTTATTCCCCAATAATTTAACGTTCTTTTTTCTTTCTTTGTCAGGATTTTAATAACAATATGTAAGCTATTCCAGTGCTCAGTTGGTGAAAGGAAAGTTGAGCTGAAATTCTCAATTGAATAGACAATCAACTCGACTGTGGTGTGTCAACAAATTAGTGCAAGTGAAGAAAGGTACTGATCTCTTTTCTGTCCACAAACTTCTTCTGTTGTTTTGCATTTCTGTCGTTGCTTCTTGCCTAAGCCTGGGTTGGATTTTAAACTTATCATCTCCTCATGCAAGCACTCCTTCCATCTCTCGACGAATTGCAGGTTTTTGCTTGCCAGAGAGTAAGACCTTTCCAGTTGGAACGACGACCAACAATCATGATATTAGCAAAAATGAGATTCCTGCATATGCTACTCTGGAACTGCTTTGCATAATTGAGGAAGTCACCACAGTTCGAATTAAAGAGTGCCTTCCTCGGCTTGTGATGTATAATTCGAGCATTAACCCATGCTCCAATCTTTTCAAGGAAAAGAGGAATAACCAAAGATTCCTATATCTTGTCATGGATTTCAGAACTTGTTATATCTCATTGGTTTCAAGTTGATGGGTAAAACTACATTTGATAGCAAATATTGAGAATTTTTTCAGTATTTAGATCACTGAGTTCCCAACTACACCGCATTCAAAAGGTAATACTCAATGGATCTTATCACTTTTTCGTTTTGGCTATCGTTACTAGTTCTTGGATGGCTCGAGCAGGCGATCCAGATATCTTGACCGACTTCATTTTTCCTGAAAATCAAACTGGAGATACAATAGATGGGAATTTCTTCACCTTCACAGGCATGCGCAAATTTCTGGTAGTGTTATTACAAGCTTTAAGTCGACAAAAGCTAGCAAAGCGGAATTTCCAGCTTTGGATGGACAGTGTACTTCACTTGCTGCCCTTCAGTTCCCTGGCGAGGGTGTCAATCCACCTCACACTCACCCTCGTGCATCCGAGCTATGATTAGTAGTGCAGGGCAGTCTAGAATATGGTGTTAGTTTAGATAGTAGTAACAAGCTCTATACTTAGACTCTACAAATTTGTGTTTCCTAAAGGACTAGTGCATTATCAGATTGGAATAAATCAGCTACAGTTGTTTCTGCATTTGGTAGCGCGAAAGCAGGAATTGTTTCACTTCCAACGACTCTGTTTGCTACAGGTATCGATGATCAGATTCTCGCGAAGTCATTCAAGACTGATCATATCTGAACCATTGTAGCATGTGGACTGGTGTTTATAGGAAAAAACAAGATACCATATAAGGATATCACAACTCATTCCCCTCAGCCATACAACTAGACTAAATGAAGCTATTATGGGCATTGAAACTCACAAGTGGCTCTATTATTTCATTTTTCTGTTTGGCAAGGAAAATGTGTTAACATAGTTAAAAATTATAATGATGTGGACATAGGGCTCCTGAGGGAAGACTATCAAATACCATATAAGGATATCACAACTCATTCCCCTCAGCCAATGTGGCACTGAACAGTCGCTGGCACACAGAGATGGTTATAATCTCACATTTTCACTCTTCATTTTACTACCGACGAGAGGTCTTCAGTGCTTCACATCGCTTCGATGTCTATGGATCAGCGACGTCTCTTTATTTTTGGTTACTTCTATTGGCTTGTTTGTTAATTCTTTTCGTCTGTTCAAAGTCTTGTTGAGCAGTGTGTCCATTGCTACAATGAAGCCGAGGAATCATCTTGAGACCGATATGAATTTAATGTTAGATGACAACAAGAAAAGGTGCTAAAATCGTTATATTTGCATTGAAACATTGTAAAAAAAAATCTGGTATATGCAGGAATTGAGATAATTTTCTCAAAAAAGCTGATAGCTCAGGTAATGAACTGGTACATGCACATATATGTCATCCGGATGTTTATTGTCTTTGGAAATTCATCTTAATAATTTAACAACTAAAAGCATAAGCACTAGATAGATTGCTCTGATCTCAATTTAGCAATCTTTTTCAGGATTTTTGGTAACAATATGTAATCTATTACAGATCTTATAATTGAGTGTGACGTTATGCTTACATTGCTCTGTGTAATTAACATTCTTTTGCTCTACCAAATTCCTCATATTAACATGTTTCATCTGATTGCATTGCTTTCTGGTTTTCTTCCAAAATATCATACCGAATCAGAAAACGATGTTTGACAAAATGGAAAGCATTTGTGACGATACAAAGTCATTTCCACATGGAATGTTTTCTCAGTTTTTAGCTGAAGTTTGCGCTCTCTATTAATTGTAGTATTCAATGTCTGGAAATGAGTCCTTTCCGGTAGCAAAAGAGAGATTGAAACAGAGGGATTATTTATTTTTAAATATTTTGTTATCTTTTTTATAGGCAACAATTACACAATTTATCAACCCTTAGATTTGTTGGCAGCGCGCATAGTTGAAAGCATATTAACTTTGCAATTTTCTGAGGTAGACGAACATAAATCAGAAAACACTAGTTAAGAACTTTGCAATTTTTAACAAGTTTACATTTGTTTTGTTTCGTTAAATAGTCATTTGCAAACAGTCATAATTTGCGAACAGTTATCTACTATAACTAGGGAGATTAAAACAAAATGCCTAAATAAAATATCAACTGCAAACAATCTTTTATTGTTTATTGAAGGAAAAGTAAGCATAGAATAAGACTTTTGAGAATAACAATCTCCTCAATCTTATCCATCCCCGTATTTGTACCTTTACACTCAAGGATTCCAAACAACTATCTAAAAAACGATAATAAGCATGTCTCCATGATCTCTTGAAAAGCAAACAAGAACATATTCCCCAAAAGCTAAGACCAAATTCTATTGACATTGCAATGTAGAACCAATCAAGTTCATCTTTATCACTCTCATCTTTTTCAATATCAACACCAGGATTTTGACCACTTGAATTACAGTTCGCCAAGAGTGGAAGCCCGCAAAGCTCATTTCCCAGGAAACTCGAGGAATTAAAACTTTGAAGTTGAGTGCCCACAGGTATCTTTACTGACAAATTGTTATAAGACAGATTCAGGAAGCTTAAAGTTGACAAACTCGAAATGCTTTGGGGGATTTGACCAGAAAATTGATTTTCTGAAAGATCAAGGGATTCGAGCACTTTCATGTCGCCAATGCCATTTGGGATCGTACCTGTCAGATGGTTTTTTGAGAAATTACAAAATTTCAATCTTACAAGACTAGTAAAACTTATAGGAATATCTCCAGAGAGATTATTGTTAGACATATCCATACTTATAACCAATGCCAATGTTTTATCATACCGGTAAATATTGCCTTTAGTTGTCACCATTGCGCTTTCTCTCACAATTTCTAGAGGAACTAAAGAATTATACATAATATCAGCTTCCCCCAACCTATTTCCGGCCACCATTGTTGTTAAATTGCTAATACACCTTGGTATAGTTCCAAAGAAACTATTGTTTGCAAGGTCTAAGATCTGAAGATCTTTGAGGGGGCAAATTTCTGGAGGCAATTCACCATAAAATCTGTTGGAGCTAAGGCTAAGGATTATCAAATCTGAAAACTTCATTCCTAACCATGGTGGTAGTTGTCCAACGAATTCGTTCTCCGTTAAATTAGTTTTCAGCAACTTTGTACAGTTTACTAATGATGAAGGTAATGGACCAGTAAGTCTATTTCTTCGAAAGTCCAAAGAAATCAAATTATTTAAAACCTCCATGGATTTTGGTATGCCTTGTTGATTGTCAAAAGTCCCACATCGGTGGGTGACAATTTGGGGTTGGGAATTTTTCCTTATAAAAGGAGGCCTAATGTTTAGGATTTAAACAGACCTCTCGTTTGCCTTCTTATCTTCTTAAGACATGTGTATCTTCTCTCTTTAGTATTATTTCAATTATATTTTTGGAGTGGAATAGAATATTGGTTGTGTCCGAGGAGTAGGCAAAATTAGCCGAACCTTGTAAATTCTGGTGTTCCTTTTATTGTTTCTTTATTGTCTTATTTGGTGGCTGTCATAATTTTTGGTATAGTAGTTGTGACTTATTCACACTATATACATTTTGCTTCCACAAAAATTGGTATCAGAGCCAAGGTACTGTCCAAGTATGCTTTGTGGTTGCAGCATAGTCTGATCTTCCACTTCAGAAAAAATTTATCTTGGTAACTGAGTCAAGGTTCTGTCTGAGTATGCTCTGTGGTTGCAGCTTAGTCTGATCTTCCACACCATAAAGGAAATAATCTTGATTTTTGTCGTCAGCTATTAAATAATATTTGTGTCAAAGATGGGAGACAATAAACAAGAAGAATCTACATCAAGTGTCAACAATATGTCATCATTGGCATCTTCGCTTATGACAAGAATTATTTCAAATGCGAAATTTGCGGTAGAAATTTTTGACGGATCAGGACATTTTGGGATGTGGCAAGGCGAGGTTCTAGATGTCCTTTTTCAACAAGGGCTAGATCTGGCCATTGAAGAAAAGAAACCAGATGTTATTGGAGAAGAAGATTGGAGAATTATCAACCGTGTTGCTTGCGGTACCATTCGATCCTACCTTGCTAGAGAGCAGAAATATCCATACACAAAGGAAACTTCTGCAAGTAAATTATGGAAAGCACTGGAGGATAAATTTTTGAAGAAAAACAGTCAAAATAAATTGTACATGAAGAAGAGACTGTTTCACTTCACCTATGTTCCTGGTACCACGATGAATGAACATATCACCAGTTTCAATAAGTTGGTCACAGATTTGCAAAATATGGATACAACTTATGATGATGGTGACTTGGCCTTGATGTTGTTGGCGTCACTTCCTGATGAGTACGAGCACCTTGAAACTACTCTACTCCATGGAAATGACGAAGTTTCTCTCAGAGAAGTTTGTTCGGCTTTGTACAGCTATGAACAAAGAAAGCGAGAAAAACAGAAGGGCGGAGAAGGAGAAGCACTATTTGTGAGGGGTCATCCTCAAAATCAAACGAGGACAAAGAAGGGAAGATCCAAGTCAAGATCCAGACCCAGCAAAGATGAATGTGCCTTTTGTCGAGAAAAAGGGCACTGGAAGAAAGACTGTCCGAAGTTGAAGAATAAGGCCAAACATAACAATGGAAAGGCCATTATGGATTCAAATGTAGCTGATTGTGATGATTCAGACTTCTCATTAGTTACAATAGAGTCATCAACATCATCAGACGTATGATTGATGGACTCGACTTGTAGCTATCATATGTGTCTCAACAGGGACTGGTTCGTGGAATTTTAAGAAGGAGAATATGGAGTCATCCACTCAGCAGATAACAACCATCTTACCTCATATGGCATTGTTCAATACGATTAAGGAACCATGATGGAATGATCAGAACATTAACAGATGTTCGATATGT